AAAAAAAAAAAAAATTAAAAAAAAAATCAAATATTATTATGTCCATCCAAAAATATTAAATGAACAGAAAAAAGAAAAAAAATAAAAGCAGTACAAAAACAACTCAATGCCAGTAGAGCAGCACATGAAATTCTGAATGCCCACAGCTTATAATCTGACCACAATGAAACTATTTTCTGGGCCCAAAAACTTCTATCATACAATCAAATCTACCAAAACTTATTCAGCTCTTCAATTCATTACCTTTATGAATTATATGGGCAATGAAATGGAGTTTGGTACAGTCTAATAATAGTAAGTAAGAGTGATGGTAGCTTAATAGTTGGGGCACTATTATATTTCCCATCCCTTGTGACCACAAATACTACTCTCATTCAATGACTATGTCAAATTTGTTATGTAAAATTATTATGTAAATTTATTAGTATAAAAATAAAAAATGCCTTTTTTTTTTTTGGTACAGGGACCTTCCGGTTTTCCGGATCCACAGGGGAACCGACTAATCCGGAATCGAGCCGGGTAGGACCACAAGGGCGGCAAAGCTCTCCCTCAAGAGTTTTAACACTGCTGCATTCTCAGGGCTCGAATTCGAGACCACTGGTTAAGCTGGAAGAGACCCAAGCCATCTCATCCAAGCGCTCTTGGATAAAATTAAAAATGCCTTTGATTGTATAAATTGAAGAAGTTTCCTAATTTAAGTGTCAATTTCTTATGGTTGATAATACTATTACTCTGGTTGATTGTGTTCTGTAATTTTATATGTCAACTAGTGCAATGCCCGTGAACGGCACGGGTGTTTTATAAAACCTAATTGTCCAACAGAATTTGAAAAAGAATTGAAATTCTTATTGTGAAGTAAAAAACTAAATGATTATTAGTTTTTTTTTATTATTATTTTGAATTCTAAAAAATATTTATATGAAGTATTTTTTGTTATATTTCATATATATTCATTTTAATCAAAATTAAATAGAATAATTAATTTATTCTGCAGTTCATATAACGCTCGTGAACAACACGAGTGCTTCAAAAATAAGTATTTTATCAAAATAAAGAAATAAAAAAATAATATTTAGAATGATAAATAAATAATACATTTAATTATTTAAAATAATAAAAAAATTATACTCAATTTGTCAAAATGATAATTCTTTTTAACC